AAAAATCCAAGAGGGAAAAAACAATCATCTAGAAGCAATGACAAGCACTTAAAGCTCATCGTGCTTCTCCGCGCCAACAAAGCTACGGAGAATGTTGCTGCGGGAGAGAATGTCATCCAGCTTCTCCGGGGCCGAGCCACCCTTAGCCAGGACCTTCTGGAGGCGGGCCAGCTCCTTGACAGCATATTCCTCGTTCTTGCTCAGCTTCTCCGCGGCCTTGACATAGTACTCGGCGTACTTGTCCGGCAGACCCTCGGCGGCCTTCTTAACATCAGCCACCAGATTGTCGAACTTCTGCGCCGCGACGCTCTCGCCAACAATCTCGTCCAGAACGGCGATGGTGCCTGCCAGGCTGTCAAGACCGCCACCGACGGTACGGTGAGTACCAGCCTTCTCGTTGATGAACTTGACAAAGGCCTCCTCGGAGCGTGCGCCGGAGTAGGCCTCGGGTTCGGTCGAGCCCTTGGGGAAGAACTTGATGGTAGGGAATCCGGTAATACCCTGTTCCTTGCTCAAAGCACGGGAATTCTCGGCTTCGGCGTCGACCTTGGCGATAACAACGTCGGACTCGAGGGCGAAGTCGTTGGCGAGGGTTTCCCAGACAGGAGCGAGGGTCTTGCAGTCTGAACAAAGGACGAATTAGCAAAAACGAACCACAAGACTAGAGGTTCAATTAGGGAGTCAACTCACGTCCACACCACGGCGCGGTGAAAGCGACCAGCACATCCTTATCGCCACCAACAGCGGTCTTGAAAGAAGCATCGTTCAGCATCTCAACCTTGCTAACCTCCTTCTGTGCGCTACGAGGCTTGATGCCAGTCTTCTCGGTGATGAAGGCAGACAGGCTCTCGAGATCACGACCACCCTTGTACTCCTCGGGCTTGTCACTCTTTCCATCAAACCACTTGACAGTAGGGAAGCCCTGGATACCGAAGCGCTTGCCCAGCGAGCGGTTCTCGTCAGCGTCGACCTTGGCGATGGTGACCTTGTCTTCGGCGAAGGCGAAGGTCTGCGCAAGCTCCTCGTAAATCGGGGCAAGGGTTTTGCAGTGACCGCACCAGGGAGCGAAGAATTCGACCAGTGCGGGCTTGCCAGCCAGGACAACTTCGTCGAAGTTGGTGGGAATTAGGTCTTTCACTGCGGAGTTGCTTGCAGTGGCGACGCCGCTGAGGGCTGAGAGGGCTCCGAGGAGCAGGAAGCTTAAGCGTGCCATTGTGTATATGGATTTTGATGTGAGTATACTTTCGGAGAAAGTATGAGTTCACAAAGAAATGTAGATGGCGGAGTTTAAGCTCGGGGGAGACGATGACAAACAAAGCCGAAGAGGCCACTTGGTGACTCCACACCGCAGATCACGTCCATCTACTGCCAAGGTTGACATCTACGACGTCCATAATATAAAATATAGCTACTTCCCCTATGCTATATTTGCGATTATTCTGCCTCTTGAGTAATACAAGAGTTTCTTCTTCGTTTTCTTGATTTGTTTGGTCTCTGTTGCTACCTAGATAGTTAGTAATACACTGGAGAATTGCTGGTATCGTATTTCCTTGGGCAAGATCGGAGCTGTTGGCATAAACTGCAATTGCAAGCTGCGCTTGTTAACCCAGAATCCCCGCGGTGGTTGATTGGTGTCGTTGGCGAGATTTGTCCATATCATCGTCTCTCTGCCAGCCATTTGCTTGCGTCTTCCCAGAGCTCTGCTTCTTTGAACTCCTTGCCCGTACTCTGTGTGCCTACGTAAACCTATCTTGAAAATTAGCGTCTGGTCAACATTCAACATCAGGCAATACTAACCGCATCCCACAGCTTGAATGCCAAATCCAAGTTTCCAATAAAGCTCTCGCTGTGTTGGAACCATTCCTTGCCCTTTGCCTTGACATCCGCTCGAGCCTCGGGAGATGTCGGATTCGCCTGTAGAGGTAGGTCGTCGAGGTAAGTCCGAACCGCAATTCCAAGTCCACAGTCATTATCATCAATAAACGGAAGCCTGGGAGAATAGGTCAGAACAGGATACAGCAGAGCTAGGCTAAAGGAACATACTTGATAGCCATGTCAGTCCAGTCGTTGCGGTCCCGATCAGCGTCACCACTGAGCAGCAGACCAGCCAGTACCACCTCGATCAGATTCCTCAGTGCAGAGCGCACCGCAGAAATCAAAGAGCGGTAGCAAAGAAGTTGACGGCTTAAAGGTCCAGAATATCCAATGCTCTTGTGCTGAAGCTTGGCAACGCATGCAACACGCGAAACCAGCATATTGAAGGTCTTGTCGTCTTCGGACCCTCTCATGGGACCGCCAGATACATGTGAGAACCAGTTCTTAGTGTTGAGAAGACCCAAGCGGATCATCTCAATCGCGATGAATATAGATTCCTCGAGGTTGTCCGCAGGATCGATAGCTGATAGTGCCTGCACTAGACACTGGCCCCACGGAGTGAGCTTGTGCTTGTCGTCAACGTATCCACGGAGTTGTAGGAAGCGCCACATAACATTAGATAAAATATCCTCCTGCAATGAAAGTGCCTGTCGAAGCTGTTAGTTATCGGTAGTGTCAACTCTATAGGTAAGCTTACAGGTGTTTCTTTATTAGCAAATGACTTGGACGCAAAGTCAGAGTCGCTTAAGCTCTGGACAGCAAACTTAAACGACCCGCAAGGCGCCTGAAGCTTCTTGATACTTTCGGGGAATTTATCCCCATGGATCTTCCAGGAATTGATGGTTTCCTTGACTGATGGGATGCCCTTGAGGTTGATCGTCCGCTCTGAGTTCTCATCGAACCACGGGCGGATCCGAATGACTTTCGTTTGATAGAATCGATGAAGCGAGTTTGCTAAAAGGCAAATAGACTGGGTGCGGATGGGTGTCAAAATCTCACCCACAAGCCGGCGGTAAATCTCGTTGTCTTCGGTACCCAGCGGTAGCGAAATGCGAACTTCGCCAGTTGTGAGGAAGTTGGGTACATCAGCTCCAATGATACCTTTAGAGAGATAGAAGTATAGCTCCTCCGGGAGGCGCTGCCCGATAAGCTCATGCATATCCGACGAGGTATTCTTTGGATCCATGGGTCCGACTCGACCTTCCACGTCAATATAGACATGATGCTTCACAATCATATATGCTCGCTTATACAAGTCTGCGTAGTGAAGCTCCTGCATACGGCGATCTTCTTCAAATTGGGCGCACAGTGTCAATGCACTGCGTCCGGCTGCGTTGAACATCGGCAACGCATCACGAATGGTGGGGCTTTTGCCGGGGTAAGCAGGGTTCTCAAAGAGTGGGAGGGAGCGCAGGAAGGGGGATCCCAGTAGTAAACAGAAGTCCAGGAATTGTTCATTTGAAAGTCGACCCAGCTCCTCCTGGCAGGTTTGCTTCGTGATCCAGAAGAATTGCGCGGGCTCGGTGTCGATACGGGTGACCAGCTTGTCAAGGTCAAACAAGAGGGCCTCGGAGGGGGCGAAAACGGCATCGACTACAGGATTGCTACCACGGGCGAGGTAGGAGAGCTATCCACCGGAATTGGTTAGAACTTACAACAATCCAAGCATGGCGCATAGGTAGCCACTCACCTGAGCCACGGCGCTGTATGGCGCTACGATGAATTCCACTCCGTTCTGGGTCAAGATTCGTTGCAGGAACTTGAAAAGTGTCTCCGGGGGCGGGGTGCCTGAGGGTTCGGTTGTGTCAGCGATTGTTTGGGAGCTTCGCTGTACCCAGTGGTAACGATAGAGGCCCGGCAAGTCCATCACCAGGGAAAGGGTGAAAGAAGGATAGTAGGTGGTCATACCAGCACTGCTGAAGGCATCGACTACCTGGTCTGCCTGTTGCTGGTCGTAAAGGTCCCAAGCTTGGTCGAATGAGCGCGTCGATGCGGGCTGGGCGCGGTGCTCTTTCTTGCCGAATTCCAACCCATTGAAGACGAAGATAGTGGCGACACCAAGGTTCTTGAAAGTCTGCAATTCCTTCTCGATATTACTCCTCAAGGCGAACGGGAATCCGCCTAGTGCGCCTAGAAGCGCTTCCCGGGTTGACTGGTTCACGAGATGTTGGTTGATGTAGTGCGACGCATCAATGCCAACAACGGCACCCTTCAATGCTGAGAGGGGTAGGGACTGGGTACGGCCAACGGCCCATTCATCGAGAGGTCGGACTAGTCATGGAGATAAAAGGTTAGCTGGTGCGATTGCGGGTTGTGGAGCTGTGTTATTGCATACTCGGCATGGTTCTGGAGCTTGTCTGTCACAGGGCTGAAAGCACGGCAACGCCGGGCATCAAAGCCCGAAGGTGGAAACAGGAGGTTAAATCAAAGGATATAAGAGCAGATCAAAAGCTCCGTGATCACAATATGATGAATCGAAGCTGGGATTGTTTGGGTTTTTCGGAATGGGGGAGGGCGAGATCACGAGGGGAGGAAGGCGGAGTTGGAGTTGTCCTTTTGTTTTTTGCCTTAAACGCATCACATCAATTTGTTTTTCGCGTGTTTCAACCACTTCTTTTTGGTTTCGGGTCTTTTGTGGGTGTATTTGATTTAGTTATGCCATGTTCAGCTCCTATCTGTGTATTCAGATCCTGATTATCCGCTTCCTATAGGGGAATGTACGGCTTATAATGAAGTCATGCCCGATATGTGTTTAAATAGGAACAAAACAGTCACAATTCATTATAGCGTACAACAAAATCGTCTAGACAATGTTTATCATCCTTGCTGAGTGCATTAGGCGTATATTTATAAGATCTATGCCCAGCTCAGGTGTATAACTAAGCGGGGGCAATGACACATCCGGCGGGGTTCCATGTCCATTCAGGTCGGATATCGCCTAACTGACTGGAGCCGACTATTAAACAAGAAATTGGATTGATTGGACGCAATTTGATTATCGCGATATTGAAGATACGCGATAGTCAATCATATGTGCACTAATAGTGGTTTCAACCCTATCTTCAACTATATATTCACTCCAACCTTGAACCCTAACTGCTGTCCTATTTCTGTCTCTCTTCAAAATGGCAGACACCACAGTCCCAATCGAGCTCCCCGTCATTGACATCTCTAATCCCCATGACCCCACCGTGGGGAAGGCCATGCTGGACGCCGCTACAAAGTATGGCTTTCTATACGTCAACAGCAAGGGAACCGATTTCACCGTGGAGGATGTAGACCATGCATTTGGATTGGTAAGACTTACATTACACTCCAACTGTTGACATCTATATGCATAACATCTGACCATTTCTATAGTCAAAGAAGTTCTTTTCGTCTCCCTCACAGGAGAAGGAGACATGCAAGATCCAGCCAAATGTTTGTAATAAGACTAAAGGCAAACAACACATCCAGTCTAACAATATCTATAGAACCGTGGCTGGTCTGGAATGCATACAGAAACCCTCGACCCCGAGCATCAGCGGGTAGGTTATGGCCTCCAACCCGCATATAGTACGAAGACTGACACAGGATATGGCAAACAGACCGGAGACTTTAAGGAGTATGGAACATCCATATCTCCAAGCCTTGAAATACCCCCAACCATGAACTAACCACACAACTAGAGCCATGAACTTCGGCGACTTCAAAGACGGCAAAGCCCAACAGCCTCTGCCACCGTCACTGGAACCCCACGAAGCAGAGATCAACGGCTTCGCCGAACTCTGCAACAAAACCTGCACCCGAATCCTGACTCTGCTTGCTTTAGGTCTAGAGGTACGTAACGCCACCAGGTGTATATATACACCATAACCACCACTCCCAGCCGCATAAATATGTAATCTATACCAACCATCAACCCTAGATCCAAGAAGACTTCTTCACAGCCCGACACGACCCAAGCACAGGAGCGACAGGCAGCATCCTACGGTACCTATACTACCCATCGATATTCTCACCGACAACAGCAGCCTACAAGCACGACAAGGACGTGCGAGCCGGCGCGCACTCCGATTACGGCAGCATAACGCTTCTCTTCCAGCGGCCCGGGCAGCCAGGGCTAGAGATCCTGACTCCAGAGGGCAGCTGGGCGCCCGTACCCATCGTGCCTGGCACCGCAGCCGAGGCGGAGGCGTATCCGTTCCCGCCGATCTTGGTGAATATCGGCGACCTGCTGAGTTATTGGACGGATGGGCTGCTGAAGTCGACGGTGCACCGTGTTGTTTTCCCGCTTGCTGAGCAGCGGAGCCCGAATCCGCAGGATCGGTATACGTTGGTTTATTTCTGTCATCCTGTTGATGAGACGGAGTTGGTGCCTGTTCCTAGTGGGGTTGTTGTTGCGCATCGGGAGCAGACTGGCGGTGTTCCTGCTGATGAGAGGGTTGGATTTGGAGGTGGAGCGGGGAATTTAGTGCCTGGAAAGAGGCCTTTGACGGCGCATGAACATCTTATGTCAAGATTGGAGGCTACATATGGGTTTACTAAGGATGAGTGAGGGTGTGATCACATAGCTTCAATTTTGGCGCTCTGCGAAGCCTGGATTACCGACTACATGTAGCTTACTGGGCACTGGGTAGATGGGAACAGAGTCATTCGTGAGACTGGGAATAAATTATAAACGCCGGTGCCGTTGTGGCATAGTGCAAACACAGAAAAGACAGGTCCTCCGGACATAAATCAGAATCATAGATAGGATGTGCACCAGAATGCTCCAGATGACCATAACACGACCCAAGTTGTCGGCAATTATGCCCATCTACTGACATAGGAAAGTCGTGATAGCGCAATTAGTTATGAGAGAAAACATAATGGCCAAAAAAAGCAAAAGGCAATGGGCATATTGCCACTGGAGGTTAGAATGAGATATACAGTCATAAGAAATGGTCAAATGTGGATGAGCAATGAAACAAGGGCTCGGAAATGACGACCCAACGTCAATGGACCAAGATGAAGGCAGGCTGTGCGAGAAAGGGAATATGAGAAGGCTAGACATATAAAAGGTATCTTCGGGTCGAAATATAAACGCCGCCAGATTCTGAAATGCCATGCGCAAGAGGAACCTTGGAACAGAATGAAAGGCAGACGCAAGACGGATATGACGCTATGCGAGTCGATATGCATGGAAATCAAAACGAAACTCCTCTGGGGTCGTCGGGTCGTATCAAGGGGTCGTATGGCACCAGTGCCGGTGGTATACCCACGCGGATTTCTGGCAATCTTTGCTGCAGTATTTGGTGCGACGGCAACGCCGACATTTGGCGAACTGACGCTGGAATTCTTCCCACTTGCCACACTTGTAATAGGCGCATTGGCGGATGCCACCTCTCGCCTCATCCTTACGGCAGAGGTTTCTCATGACCACGCACGCCCAGTATTGCATGTCCTTGGAGTGATGTCGAACAGTATACTTCTCCACTAGGGGGAAGATGTTGAAATCCTCGGAAAGAAGGTACTCGTCTTCCTCATCACATATATCAGGGGGCGAAGGGGGGCAGGAGTCGAAGTCCTCATCCAAAAGATAGAGCTGGTGATCAATTTTCAACTTGGGGACAAGATGGGATGACTGGAAGTATGACCGGAGGTTGCAGTATTTGGAGACATATGCTAGTAGCTGAAGAGACATCAGGACATCCTCATCACGAGGCATGGCTGTCAAGACTCCTTGGGCTGCGGGACGTTCCCGAAGGTACAAAGCGTAGGAGCTAGGAGCGAGAGTAGGAGAATTAGGATTGTTGGTAGCTTGGGTAGGAGAGAGACCGAGTCCGCCGTTGGCCTGTGTGTTGCCGTTATTAATGATGCTGCCGTCGACAGTCGAACGATGAGTGATGTTGAAAGTCTCCACCTCCGGGCCGACTTCAGATGGATCAGTGACGGTTAGATCATGGGCATTAGAGACACCGTCTAGCATCGTTGTGTCCCGCTCGTCAACACTGTCAAGTTCCATCCTGTTCGGGAGTCCAACTATGGTTTCAGCGGGCTGTCCCATAGCACTATCGTCTCCCATGGTCGAATCTTCGCCGTGGGCATCATCCGATTCACCGGACGCCGACTGCTGCTGGCGGATCAAAGGACGTTGGCGGGCGGCAATAGTCTGGGGAAGACTGCGAGGTTGTGAGTGGAGGGGACCACTTGGGGTGGTCGGGGAGTCAGGTTGTGAGACGATCCCAGTCTGCAGACTGGGGAGCATGCTAGGAAGACGCTCGGCGTCACGCACAGGACGTAATCCGAATCCATCCGTAGTATCCATAGAGGGAACCGCGGTGGCAAGAGGTTGCATTGACCGCAGGCGATTGCTAGCGCGCGGGAACCGCCCATCGTTCAACCGGTGGTTATGGGCTTCTTGGCCAAATGTACTGCGCTCCGGGGGAGATGTCATAGGGACACGAGGAGGAGATGTGATATCCATGGCATCGGGGTCGTTAGGTTGACTGTCTTGGTAGAAAGGCCGGGGGATTTCGATACTCGGCGGAGGGGCTTGTCGACGCGAGTGGTGCGACTCGACCTGCGGGTGTGACTCGGTCTGGGTATCTACATCCATAGGGGTGGAGCGAGTGGAGACGCCTCGGTTGCTGCTGGGCCTTGACTGCCTGGAAGAGGACTGCTTCTCGGAATCGAGATCGGTGCGCAATCGCACCTTGTCCACCACCTTGATGTAGTTGTTCAGAATGCTGGCAATGACCGGGACCATGTCGGCTTCCACCACTCTTGTCCTCACACTCTCAGAGCCCCGCACACCAATGTTGACAACGCATTGAAAGGCGAGGCTCCATTTCCACATTTCCAGTAAATCCTTGCTCCGACCTTCCTTGAGGATGCATACCAATCGCTCAATGCCGCCATCGACGGTGAGAATATCTCGAATCCGGGCGGACGAGGTTGTGAGGTATGCAAGATGGTTGAGAGAGTTGATGAGCGGTAAAGTCGATGTGCAATCAAGGGCACGACGGTCATAGAGGGTGGTGGTGATGTTGACCGCGGCCTTGTTCACATTGGGAATACTGAAATTGACTTCCCGCATGATGAAAGAATGAAAACGGAGATGTGACGAAAGAGCGAGGGACTAAATGTGGTATCGATCGATGCAAGATGACATCCAGAGATCAAATGCAAAAATATGAGGACCTTGACGGATATTGTGTAATTCAGCCCAGAGAGATTGATGCCGACTGCGGATTAGGAACTCGCGCTGAGAGGAATCAATCCAAAGACATCAGGTGAATGAAGAGGGTGGTGGGTTCAGATTTAGAGAAGATGACCCAAGAACCAGAAGGGGGCGAAAGGGCATCCAAGACTCAGACTCAGAGGGTGAGGCTTTTTAAGGAACGGGAAGGGGGAGAAATGAAAGAGAGACCAAATGCAATATGCAATGAGACGATAGATGCGTCTACGCGGTATTCGATAAGATGATGAAGATTGTCGATGGAGGGGAAGGGGAGAGAAGAGGAAGGCTTTGCGAAGGCAAAAGCGGAGAGCGTCAGGTGCCTCCTTAATATTACCAAATATGGGTTGTACCCGACACAGAGGCATTTGGCGCCACCTTGGGGGATTTACCCTTTCCTCCCTTTTTTCCCTTGTTGTTTTGGTGATTCATCTGTACTTGTACGGAACATTGTATTCTTTGTTTATTCGCATCTGTCTCATTTCTGATCTTTGCAATCTCTCTTCAGTACTCGACCCCCTCTGTTACATTGGGTACCGACCTCGGAGTTGCCACTCGAATATCAAAATTACATATCCTTCTTCACATACCATTACATGTCACAGGATCAATCGATATCTGTCAGATCATAATACGTACAACGAGAGACGATCGTTGCCAGATTCTCTAGGTTATGCCTGATACAGACGGTACAGGCGGAGGCTGTAGATCTTGAGCAGTGACCATCACAATCCACCACCCGATGAACTATTTGAATAGCTTCGGCCGTTTGTCCTGAATAGAAGAAGTTTGGACCGAAGCAGATAGAGCATGTAGCTGCTGTCCCCATAACAACTGTGATTCCACACCATAAATGAGTTGTGTTACATCTATATATCGGCGAGGTCAACGGCTTAAAATGACTAGTTAAATGACTGGGTCCTAGGATCAAGGAAAGAATCTAAATGCTTCTTGTGCATTGTACGTCGAAGCTGTTTATTGCACATCTCCTCTAAGTATGATATACGTTCCGTCACTATTGATACTACGGTATATGATAGTCCAAATGGGATTCAAATGGCCCGTGGAACAGAATCTTGAAAATATACCGCCTGGCCTGGACCTTCTGACCCCTGATGGCTACACCTATAATGTGTAATATTGGTGGAGTCTAGTATCCCATAACCTTTCTGATACTCCCTGATGCCGTTTCATCAGCCCTGACCAGGTAGTTTATTTTGAGAATGTGTTTAAACTTAGCAACAAACAACTGACAGCGGCTTGCCGAGGACCAATCGAATACCCCCGCAGATGTGATAGCGTTGGCCCACAAGGCCTCCATCACATCTTGACAGGGTTTACAGGCGCCTGCAACAATGTGGCGCACAGACGGCGAACTAAGATTAGAACACCTGCGAACTGCCGAAGGGAATCAATGTCCGCCTGTTTGCACCTCGAAATTTTTTGGGGGGTTTCAAGTTTGTTCGTTTCATCCTAGGGCAAGGCTTTGAGAAAGACAATAATAGCGGCTATATCGGTTAGGGGAGGGATAATACATTATTATAGGCCCCTGCGCGAGATCGTCAAGCCTACCCCGCCAGACTAGCTCAGTTCCATTGGCGAATTTCGGATATTGGATTGGAAGTTTCGACTTGACAAAATTGCTAGTGTCTACGGAAGTTCATTCGGTACTAGCGAAGGCTACTTCTGCAGCCTGCTTTGTGTATACTCCTTACAAAGTACATTCGTCTTCGTCCTGACCGTCTTGTTTATAAAAGGGGCAGCTCGGTCCATCGTGTATGGCCCCTTTCTCATAAGAAGCCGAACTTAGTCGCCGGAGTATGAGGTATAAAAGGCACTCCCCCAGAGCATGGCAAGAGATGTTCGTGCAAAGGATTCCTGGGAAGTTTTCAACATCGACAAGTTATTAGGCTTTCGATTTTCCCCTGGGATACAATGCAGCGTCCAAGTCTTTCGTAATATGTCTTCCAGCATCCGTTGATATGCAAATTGCTTATTCCATAGCCGGCGAGTACAACTATCTTTGAGACATTATGTTATTAGGTCACAGGTACACTTCCGTGTAAGGAGTCAGGACTGGGAGTTGAATCTGCGCCCACAGCCTTGTACTGACACGACAACGTGCTCTTTGGAACCTATATACACTCGTGATACATCGCCTTCCGATCGCCTGCCACGTGAGTAACCGGAGAGACGCCATTTACTCAGGAGTAGATCTAATATGCACAATGCACGTGATACTGGCATTCATTATCCCTCAAGAAAGAGGGAATGGTCGGAACTTCTCTGAGATAAGCCGCATCATCTCGTTCTTGAATCAGAATGTTCAGTGCAGGGATTCGGATGTGTCTTGTGATATGACGTAAACTATAACTGGTTCTGCTTGGGTTCTCATCCCTGGAGCTGAGGGCGTGGGAATGGTGACACAGATATTGGCAGTCTCTCGTACTCGGTTTCTTTTGCTTTCTTTGTCATAGGTGCTTGCTCACCATGTTGTATAGTTTTGTATAGATCTCCTCAGAGTATGAGTCAATATATGACTGCTAGAATATCAACGGCATACAGTGAGGTCCGTTTCAGATAACAGCCAAATAATCTATTAGACTTCGGTCATCTCGATCTCGACGTTGGCGGGTGCCTTACAGCCCGAGCTGAGATGAGTTCATCTCTCTGATCGAGGGTTTGGATCATGACTGTACGTACAGACTAACCCATGTTAGGCCGACAGGTAATCATGGCTTTCAGACCAATGGATGTTTTAGAAGGTTCGGGATCCCACTATACTAGTTCAATTGCCTATTCGTGGTTTAATATAGACATGTATATATGTAAGTAATTATGGAGTAATGTCATTGCAAATCTCCGATGATGAGCATCTGCATGACAGACGCCATGTCGAAGATCCCGAGTGGAGATCTTGGCAGGAGAGGAGCACACGGATATTCACTGACAGGGACTTGCCCCTGAACATCCATGGATGGATGTATATAGAATGACGAACGTATATCCAACGGAGAGCAAATGCCGAAGACTATATCGAGCCGATCGTCCCCGAAATCGAATTGCAACGTCGCACATAATGATCGTCCAACAGTCAGCCGAGGATTCCCCCGGGCCGGAGTTAAAAAAAAAAAGGGGGCTAGACAGCACAATGGATTGTTTGGTGGAGACTGGGCAGAGATGTCGGCTTTTGACTCGGAGAAAAAGACCCAGAAAAAGAATCCTTAAAAGAATCCTCAAAGAATCCTAAACGAATCCCAAAAGAATCCCTGAAAGAACAATCCCTGTTTAATTTATCTCTTTAAATTGCGCTTACCAATGTCCTGGAAACGGTTGGACCCACCAGAACGGGAGTTGAAGCCGAATGGCACGATACTCTAGGGCTAATATATGTCATATACCTAGACGGTTGCTATTGCACGGAGTTCTCCGTGCATATCTCCATCATATCCAATAATTGTGATATAAATTACTTTAATAGCCAATAAATCAATACGGACGTACTCCGTATTTAGCCACAGGGCCGTGCACCCTGAACGAACGCTCAGTGTGAAGCTTGGACCTGCACGGAGTACGGAGTAGGTCAATATTGTTTAAGCATAGATTGGGAGTTGGGGATTGGGAGAAGATCAGAGATAAATATGGATATGGCAGTTGCAATCATGCGAGAATATCAACTCATGCCTGGAATACAGGGTCATCTTCTTCACATAAAGGGTAACTGGGACATAAAACCGGAATTATACCCAGAATGGACATGGAGGATAGTCCAATCTCCGTTAGCTCCATAAAAATTACCTTCTATGCAAATGGAAAAGGGGAACGCAAGGGAGTCCATTTAGCTCGTGAAGAATGTATTGGCGTACGGTACTTGATATGTCCTATTATACAGGTTGTTCAGAGCCGCCGGCGGTTAAACCGTGACACTTGGAGTAAATCACTCTTTGCCGCTGTTACTGGCTGGATTTACACTGTCTTCAGTCTCCGGGCTAGTGGTCTTAGCACCCAGCCGATCCTCAACGCCACAATTTCGCATATTCTCCTGAGATCAGGAGGGTTCAGGAGGGTTTAGGAGGGGTGATATTTTTTTTTGGCTTTAAAAACTTGGAACAGCTAACTATGTGAGCACAAAGTACCTAGTTAGGTATATGTACGTCAGCTCTAGTTCGAATATCAACCAAAGAAAAGAAACCGGCATCAGGTACCCGTAAAGCAATATGTGTAAGTTGCAAGTTGGATTGGTAGAGTCCACTGAAAGAACTTGCAGAATGGAAATGAAGAAACTCTGAACTATACGGAAAATATGTATAGTGGCTCACATAAGTATGTCACGATTTCTTTCATGCAGTACGGGAAAAATACAGAAAGTTACTTTGGATGGCATACAAATTGATAGGAACGGAAAGTACCCTGCTTATTCCCATGTCCAGTATTACCACTAGTAATACGCTGACCTCCCTCTCCTTGCTCGGTCTTTCACCCCCTGTTCCTCTCTCTCTTTCTTCTCGGTCTGTTCCTTTTGTTCCTGTTGGCTCTTTTTCCCTATTCTCTTATTCTCGACTTTTACTTAACATATTATGATCCAAGCCTAAGGCCCTTTCACTCGGTTCCGCCTTTCGACTTTCTCTCCCCTGCTTCTTCGCTCCACATCTTCCATTCAGCCCCCTCTCTACCCTTCCCCTCTGCCAATCTTTCCGACCACAATTGTTATTATCCGGGGTACTTCGACAAAATGGCCGATATGAGCGGCGAACAGATGCAGGCCAAGATCACTGCGGCCAGGCGCGAAGCTGAGGGTTTAAAGGACAAGATCAAGCGCAGAAAGGATGAGCTGGCCGATACCTCCCGTGCGACTCCCATCACCCATTGTTATGCCTAAAGCGTTTCCTCCCCTTTTCCTCTCCTAGGCTGTGGTCCAGTAAACTGTCCTAGGAGACTTGATTAACCATACTGACTTTGCTTTCCCGTCTAGTCCGTCAAGTCGCGCAGAACCAGACCGACGCCCTACCACGAATTGGAATGAAGCCCCGACGCACGCTGAAAGGTCATCTCGCCAAGATTTATGCCATGCACTGGTCCACCGACAGGCGCCATCTCGTTTCGGCTTCGCAAGACGGAAAGCTCATCATCTGGGATGCCTACACCACAAACAAGGTCCATGCGATTCCCTTGCGCTCGTCTTGGGTCATGACCTGTGCCTACGCCCCAAGCGGGAACTACGTCGCTTGCGGTGGTCTCGACAATATCTGTTCGATTTATAACCTGTCATCGCGCGAAGGCCCGACACGAGTCGCGCGCGAGCTTTCCGGACACTCGGGATACCTCTCCTGCTGTCGCTTCATCAACGACCGCCGCATCATTACCTCATCCGGTGACATGACCTGTATGCTGTGGGATATCGAGTCTGGAACCAAGGTCACCGAGTTCGCCGACCACCTGGGTGACGTGATGTCGATCAGCATCAACCCGACCAACCAGAACATCTTCGTTTCCGGTGCATGCGACGCTTTCGCCAAGTTGTGGGATATCCGTACCGGCAAGTCCGTTCAGACATTTGCCGGACACGAGTCCGACATCAATGCCGTCCAGTTCTTCCCCGACGGCAACGCCTTCGGTACTGGTTCCGACGACACTTCCTGCCGTCTGTTCGATATCCGTGCCGACCGCGAGCTTAATACCTACCAGGTAATTATTTACTCGGGACATTTGATTGACCAAAACTGACTTGAAATTCTTCCAGAGCGATCAAGTTCTGTGCGGTATCACTTCCGTTGCGTTCTCAGTCTCCGGCCGATTATTGTTCGCAGGTTACGATGATTTCGAGTGCAAGGTACGCTGAGCTTTTCCCCCGCAACACGACTAGATGCTAATCTACTTAGGTATGGGATGTTCTGCGTGGCGACAAGGTGGGTTCGTTGAGCGGCCACGAAAACCGCGTGAGCTGCCTCGGTGTCAGCAACGACGGCATCAGTCTGTGCACTGGATCTTGGGATTCCCTTGTAAGTTTTCCTCCAATTGTTTATGCAAATGCATCTACTAACCTCGGATCTTCTCTCGTACAGCTCAAGGTCTGGGCCTGGTAAACCAAAAAAAGCAAAACGCTAGATACCCCGTGTCGATCATTCTGCAATGCTCTTCTTCGAAATATTTTAGGCTCGATGGTTCGAATCACCGCCATTGTACGATAATAATCAATTACCGGGGAGTCCCTTGGGTTCCCACGATAATACACTACCCGCGGCGCAGACATCGTCGCATGCGATACGGAAGGTGATGGAGGTGGAGGTGAGCGCTATGGGATGCTGTCCCGGCGAACAAACGATAGCGATGACACAATACTTGTTTGGACATGACGAGAGTGCGACTAGTTCCTGGGTCGATGGATGTACAGTGACTGCCAGCAGAAGGGAATGCTGGAACGAGTCGATCCATCCGACACCTTCACCGTCGCCCTCTTCTCAATTCCCCTTTTACTTCTCGATGACGCCCTTTCCCCTTATTTTTTTTTCTTCTTTGAATTCTTTATCCCCCATTCAGTTTATCGTTTCGTTCTGGTCATCTCCGCATTGGTCTCGACATTTATTTTGTTGGCAAAGGCAAAAAAGAAGAACCTGGTTACCGGATTCTAGCCAGGATGTCTCTCGCCGATCTACCTCTGCGTTACCTTATTATTCTCTCTTCTCATTTCTCCTTTCTTCTTTATTCTCTCCTATCCCCCCTTATTTGTGTCTCCTCTAAAGAAAGAGTCCGTTGTACTTAACTGTCTTTGCGTTGGAATCTTGCTCTGGGATTCTGTGGTGTCGGATTTTGATAATGGTTCAAGCAGCTCCAATTTCCATATGTGAACTTTTTTTTTTCAACTCGATCTTCCATTTCATTGCACTGAAGGTGGTGATAGTAGTATCGGCCAACGTCGGTCCATGCCTGGCTTGATTCTCTAATGTGAGCGTGGCGAGTATCAGACATGTCTTCAACCTCGGTCCAGCCGTAGGGTAGAACATGCCATCCCTGGATCATCCTCGAGGGAGTAGTCTCTAAATAGTCGGCTGGGATACCGTAGCAGGTAGTCCGACCTTCGGCTCCACGTATATCAGGCCACGAACACAGCCAAGAGCAGTGGCTAGGGGAATGCCACGCATGTCCTCGACCTCAATCACACCGGTCCACATTCATTGATGCCTAACACGCAGCTCGCCGATTCTGGGATCAGCTTGCCCCATTTCTGACATGAAACAAGGGAATGGACGGGTAGGAGGGTCGTACCACTAACGCTAGAGAGAGGGAGACTAAGACAATAGTTGCAGTAGAAACCTGTTCAGAAGATTAGGTCGAAATAAGAACATGGACAGGATCAGCCTTGTGGTTATCCTTATAAACGCTAGAGGAGAGTTCATCCTTTCATATCAAACTAAACTGGGAATACGAAGATACGCATCCTTCTAGAAAAAGAAAAGAAAATCGAAACATCTAGACCTGAGTATTCATTGGTGGAGACATACAGATCTACATCGTTGAATGGGGCTACCTTAAAGTAGACACTTCGTCCGTAGACACGTCACATAGTTCGGGATATTATGAATGCCTCCACGGGGAATGGAGATCGGAGTATGGAGTAGAGCTGATTTCAAAGGGATAATGAATTGATCTAAGGCTATAGCTATTAAGCTATTCAGGCGAAGTATGGAGTATCGAGTATGTTAGTATAGCTTGAACCGTTTGCTTTGCTTTATGATATACTACTTGGGCATACAACATGCTATTGTATACTCCGTATTGTCTAGCATTTATATGAATCTCGACAGAATATTCTAAAACAAATGTCTTTGACCTTGACAGCCTCCTAGGGCTCGGATGTCCTATGTGGAGCCTGAAACACAAAAAAAGGGGGCTGTTCTCACCGTTTCATGACTTCCATGGCTTCTCACGACGATCTCTTCCAACCTCAGCCTCATCTCCGTTTCAACTTCAGGGGCAATCTTCGAGTATCTGCATATCCTAATCCTTGATCCTGGTCCAATCCGAAACACACCAAACAGTGCCCGATCCCAGATCTCCCAAATTAGCTCCCCCCTCTCACCTAAAAACGCCCTTTGCCCGCTCTTTCAACATGTCCGCCCAAGAAGAATTCAACCAGCTGGTGAACAATAACCGTTCACGCTTCACCTCCCATCCAGAAGACCAGGAATCAGAACCTTACTTCTCCGACGAAGAACCCGCCTCCCGCCTCCGCTCCCGCCAAACAGTCGACTCCTCCGACGAGGAAGCCGACGCAGACATGGTCTCCTCCCGCACCGCCAACGCAAACTACCACATCCCCAACACCGTCTACGAAGCCAACACAGGACCCAAGGGCGTCATCGCCGACGCCCAGGCCTTCGAGCGCGCCCGCAAGAAGTCCTTCCGCCGCACCCTCCTCAGCGTCGCCGGGCTCGACTCCAACAGCGCCTCCTACAGCTCCAAGTCCACCCGCGATGACGTGCCCCTCGCGGCCGGCGACCAGTCCTCCGCCAGCGAGGACGACGACGAGGCCCGCTTTATGAGCAAGTGGCGCCAGTCGCGCATGCACGAGCTGCAGGGCCGGAATAATCGCCGTGCTAGTCCGCGCGGTAGACGCTATGGATCGGTTGAGACGGTTGATGCCGCGGGGTACCTCGATGCTATTGAGAAGGTGACGCCTGACACGGTGGTTGTTGTGTGTATTTATGATCAGGAGGTATGTGTAGAATTTGGATCTCTGGGATACAATTGCGGGGGCTAATTTGTTATAGTTCGATGACAGCGCTATTGTCGAGGAGTGTCTGGTCACTATCGCTCGCAGACAGCCCACTACCCGCTTCGTTAAGATGCATCACGATATCGCCGAGATGGATCACATCAAGGCCCCTGCTCTGCTGGCCTACCGTGGTGGTGATGTCTTTGCTACTATTGTCGATGTCTTGCGCAACATTCCTCGCGGCCGCAGCTGTAGTGCTGACAGCCTTGAGGACTTGTTGAAGCTGTGCGTATTCCCAGGCTCTTGTTCATTTCGTACTGAGACATATGCTAATTCCCGATTACAGGCACCGTGTGCTATGATACTTTCTTTGCTATTATGTTTTCGGCCCGTCCACATTTATGGCATAGCAGCAAGGCGTCTTGGTTGTTCCCTCGTGATCTCCTCTGCATGATTTGATTTGATTTGATTTGATTTGATTTGATTTGACCTGACCTGACTTGACTTGACTTGAATTGCCTTTCCTTTCCTTTCCCTTTCTTTTCCTCTCAAACACTCTCTCCCACATCTCTCTTTATGTCCCATCCCTCTGATGTTGGATGCATTACCTGCAATGAAAAAACCCCAAGAACAGATCTTCTTGAAACGGCGTTGGTCACTAGAACAAGGTGTACACGTTTGGACTCGGCAGGTCGATGGTCTGGTTACTATCTTGCCGTGTCATGTTAGACACGTTGCGTTTCTCTTCCCTCCTTGTCTGATTATGTCCCTACTATTTCCAGCCCGGCCGGAGCCGGGCTTGATGTTGATTTACACGAGATATCCCATGCTGTTATTACTGTTCCTGCTCTATCTTCTCTCTCGCTGGTAATCCCCTTAGACTGAGCCCTAAATATGTAAACTAGGGTTCCGTATGCTCATCTGCTACACCCAGTAACCGAAAAGGAACAAAAGGCAAGAACAAAGGGCCGTCCATGTTGGGAAGGCACGTGGGTTTGGGGTAGTTATAAAAGGGCCCCTCTCCCCATTTCTCTTCTTCTCTTCTTCTTCTCCTCTCCATCTCTCTGACCACCATCTCACCGTAGCCTCCACGAGACAGCGTCGGCAGAGGGTGCCGTAGCACATGCTGCTTCACCTACCACAGGGATCATAACATTACCATGTTTGTTATGAGGTCCATGTAGGTCTGCATCAGATAACAAACTGGGCTTTCTCGTGGATGTTCCTGAAGTCGTGGCTCTCATTGCCACTTGACGAGTCCTACGGAATACATGAGGGGTGTAAATCTCCATAGCCGAAGACTTGTACAGATGGTCACCTAGGTAGTCACAGTACACTTTCACTTTCAAACGTAGCTCTAAGTCTGGGCTCGTGTTGTGGGTCTGACTTATATGTGAATTGGGAGATTCTATTCTAGGAAGTCCCACAGTCCTAGCAAGATATCAAGGGTCACATCTCCAGAGATCCAGGCAAAGAGATATGAAAGACAGCCCCAAGTGCAACAAGCTTGAATATTGGTATAAGACCCATATTATCCAGTGCAAAGCATCGTAAGGAACCATTTACGTGGTTCTCGAATTCCAAGTCTCTCTCTCAAGCAAGAGATGAGTGAAATGTACCACGCCCATATCCCACCATTCGACCATCCCCGAGACCAAGAGAAAAGAATACGCGCATTTTATAAGAGAAGCGCGAAAGCAAAGAAAAAGAAGAAAGAGCCATCCAATTTCCTTCGGTAGTCCGCTAACTCCCCGTGTCAAAAGACAGAAAAATAAATGAGAAAGTAACTAGACGCATGGCCGTGGTGACCAAGGATACATAGCAGGTAGAGAAAGAAGCGAAGACTCAAGAAATGAGAAGAAAATAGAATAAAGACTCCCACGCCTGGTTTCTCCCCTCTTCCGCTCAGTCGGTTGTCTCTTACAGGGCTCCGCGGTCCGCCGTGAAATCCCAGAGCATTTTGATCAACGCGTCCGGGAGCGTGTACAGATCCACGTGGAACTCTCCGACTGTAGACACGAAAGGATAAGGTCAGCTTGTTGTTCAGAGTAAACTTCAAGGAAGCAGAGAAAGAATATGGAGTTTCCCTTCTCTGACATACAGAGGAACTTACGCTCAACATCGTTCTTTGTGTATGAGTCCGCCGCCTTGTGGTCATGAACCATCTGCACGACCTGCAAGAGGTCATCTTCGTTCAGCTTCTGAAGCCCATCGGCAAGCTTGTCCATGTCAACCTCGAGAGAGCGTCAGTCCTGCAGCGCCAACCTCAGACCCTTTTCATAGAACCAACTCACATTCTTATCTGTGCGCTTCTTCTTCTTGGCGCTCTCCTCGCCACCAGCAGGGCGCTTGTGCTTGATACCATTCTCATCACCGGGGACCGGACCGGACTCGCGCAGCGCAGCCATCAAAGCAGGCTTGGGGTTCTTGAAGGTCTGCACCACAAAACGCACCATTGATCAGCACACCATACTTTCTCTCTCAGGGGAAATTCAACAAACTCACAAGCACATGCTTAGATTCATAACGGGTCTGGGCGAAGTTCAGGTCATGTTGAATCGTGTACGACTTGTCAGCAGTGAGCTCGATCGACATATCGAATTCACCCCATCCCTCCTCCTGAATACGGAACGGCGGGTGCTTGAAGACTATTCGAAGTGGACAAATCGTCCCACGTTAGCCTCTAGTCGGAAAACCACACACACACACACACCGCAACCGCGCGATCAATCCGTGCGGCTGTGGGATTCTGGGTCGCCAGATAACCCAGAAATCAAAAATACAATAGGGACCAAACATACCCTGCGTGGCACGTTCACCGAAACTGGGGTGCAGGTGGTAGGTGACCTTGTCGAAGATGTTCGCGGGGACCAAGGCGCCCTTCTCGTTCACGAGCCAGACCTCAATATGCCATGATCGCTGTGGAAAACCCTCAACCTCCGATGGCTTATCTCTGTAGTGTAGGAAGAAATCCCAAGTCAGCCAATGTGGTCTAATCCCGCGCGTTTTGTGTGCATGTGTAGAGATGGGCGTGGGGGTTTGAAGGGAAGAGTGGTGGCGTGCAAAGCGCGCCTCTCCCTTTACTCCTTGTGCGCATTATCATCTTTGTGTCCTGTAAGCTACAGGACAGACGTGGCGATAGCGTTGACAGGGTATTGTGGGAGGAGACAATAGCTTTCAGACCGGGGTTTGCGAAGGGAGGGAAGGACGAGGTAGGTAGAGGGGCGCATACATAATGTTCTGCTCGGTGATGAGACGGACAGTGCGCTTGACCTATTGAGAAGGAGTGTTAGTGTATGCAAGCTTAATTGTGCTAAGAATGGAGAAAACACCAGGGTTGGGCTTGTCGGCTCTAGCGACAAACCCACAGTCCTAAGCCATAGATACAAGTTTGCGGCAGTTGATGAGAGGGAGAGATACTCACGTCAGGCATGATTATTTTATTGGCGACTTCGGGTCGTCACTTGAGAGAATCGTGAGGTTCTAAGGTTTTGAGGCCGAAAGGGGACGTTGACGTGCGGAGAGGTGGGCGTCTCGGAGACAAGTTTGCGCGGTTGTCTATCGGAGTGAGCAATGAGCGTAGGATATCATAACTAGGCAATACCTCAATGTAACCAGGCAGTTAGGTATATGTAGTGACGTTGGTCTATTGATCTATTCTCAAGGCAATTGATAAAGCGGTGAATTAACCTTGGAAGCTCAAGGAGGTTTGAGAATATCTCCAGGCCTATGTTTCATCTGACGCTCTCTCACTTTCTGATGAGTTACGCGTTTAATCTAACTCGTCTTGAGACTACTTGGATCAAATGGATATGGCTATAAACAAATTTACTAGACTTATAGCCCGAGCATTGTTCCAGCAAAGTGCAAGCAAAATGTAATCTTTTTCGGGTTTAAAAATGTACTATTTTGTATTATTGCATGCGTTTGCTTGTTAGGCATACTCATCATTACTTTTGTTTGTCTTTGTTCTTTTTCTTCAGATATCTTCAGGGTATGGGGTGATGTGCAGGTATATTGGATGGGGAAATGTCTATCTACTTCCCGAAGAACCATCGACGTTAGGAACTGCCCTCCATTTCGTAGACTGCATGGCTCGCAATAGCTATCCGAGGAGCATCTTCATAACTGCTGCCTCGCTCGTCGCGTCGTAGGGGATGGGGTGGGAATGGGATGTATTGGGGATGATTGGGTGGAACGGTGTGAAAGGGGCGAAATTGGGTAATTTTTCAAGAGCAAGCTCCGGGACGGCGTACCCAAATGCCTTGGAACGGCAAGTGCACCATAATTGGGTATGCTCGATCCTCGAAGAGTCAGCAATACGAGAGAAGAGGAGTTGTTTACTCTTCGGCGTTGAAGAGCTTCTCGTTCTCCACCTGGGCGGTCTCGAAAGCATCCTTGAAGGCGTTGGCGTCTATAACCATGGTTAGCGAATGCTTGAATAAAGTTGGGATAAAACAACTCACTCTCGCTGTTGGCGAAACGGATGGCAAGGGTCTGAGCCTCAGGCTCACCCTCAGAGACATCGGCGGCGGCGTTCCAGACCCAGCTGCGGTCACTGCCGACGTTGGCGCTCAACTTCATGTCGGGGACGACTGGAAGATACATATTAGCACTAGATCGTCTTTGGGAAATACGAGCCGGGGGGGGGGATCTCACTGTAGTGGTTGGCGCAGACCTTGAGGGTCTTATCGCGGCGCATGACTAGGCGGGTCTTCTGGTTCTCCTTGTGCTTCAACAGACGGACGTCACCGGTACCGCGCTCCTTCCACTCCTTAGAATCGCGGTCGAACTTGAACAGCTTGGCGCGCATCTTGAAGGTCTGCTCCTCAAGCTCCTCGTTGGTCTTGGTCTCGACCTTCTCGGTCAAGCGAATCACGGGCTCGAAGTGGACATCGACGGACTCCTCAACTTCATCCTGCATCAAAGAATCATGGTCAGTATATGCGCGGAGCTAAAATAGTCATTGACACTAGCATAGTATGGCTTGGTTGCGACGACCCCACTATCGGGTGACAGGGGCACAAGACCCCGCTCCCATCGCGGACACGTCCAACAACAACCGCCTATGCCAACAGCATCAGATGTATAAAACTCACCTCATCGTTGGCCTTCTGGGCCTTGGAAGAGCCGGAGGGCTCATCAGTAGGCTCCTCGGCCTCCTCCTTCTTCTCCTTCTTGGGGCCACCACCGAACATGGAGAACATGCTGTCGGAGGTCTTCACGGTGGCATCCTTAGCAGTGTCGGCAGCCTTCTCTGCGGTCGTAGCGACAGTCTCCGCAACGGTCTCAGTGGTAGACTTCTCACCCTCGCTAGTGGCGGTGGTGGTCTGCTCAGTGGTCTCGGAGGCAGAGATGGCGGGGTCGGGCTTAGTCTCGGTGATGTCAGACATGATGACGAGGGGCTCAAGAGAATCGGTTTAAAAGGATAAAAAGAGAGATGGCAGATTTCCCCGGGAGGTAAAGTGGAATTTCAGTAACAGATAATGTTTGTTGATCAGAGAAAGCGGCGATGAGGGGGAAAAAATTAATACTTAGTTTGGGTCCCATACCTGGCAGAACCCGCCACCGCTTTTGTCTGCGTACTCTATATAGGTGTGAACTACATGCAACGTGGGGAAACACACATCAAAGAGAAAATAAGTGAATAGTCTCAAGGCCAAAGTGGGATTACGGTTTAAATAAGAGATACGATTGCGCCGACTGAATAGTTCGCATGAAAAGCCATTTCCAGTACAGTTGCCACCCACCAAACCTGATCGCCATAAACAAAAACCAGTCCTCAACCAACTCATTAATAGGAAAAAGAAGCAAATACAAAGTCGTAAATAAGCTCGTTCATCATTTCGAGCCAAGGGTTGAGCAATCCTTGGATTTGCCGGACCGGAATCCCATAACATGTCGCGCACGCGACTGAGCTCGATCCAGCGCATCACATTTCCTGACGTTGCGCACTCGATCCATCATACTGCGAAGGTCAAACTTCGGCGCTGACTTCCCAATTCGGGCCCATGCTTCCTTAACAAGGCCCTTGGCTTCCTTGTCCACGCGACTAGACCGCATTTGCAACACAGAAGCAGCACTTCGGAATCGCTGGATAGTATTGCGAGTGAGGACGTCTGAGATCTGCTTCGAACGTGATAAAACGGCATCGCGTGCATTTAGACTCTCACGGCGTAGGTCCTCGGCATCACGGCGCAAGAGATGGGTTCTCTGCACCACATCTCCCACGATCACCTGCAGATCGGTGGAGAGGCGGCCGTATACCTCAGTCAGGCCGGTCTGAGCCGTATGGATTTCCTTGGCGAATTGTGAAGAAATTCCCTGTGCTGCACGCTTCCAGTTTGCGATCTTCAGCCATGGGGTTCCGAAGTCAACAGTCATGGTCTGACTGATTGGCTGCCTTGACTTGGTTGTAATTGTCAAGTTGACTAACCCGTACGCATCCTCGCGGTTCAACTTCAGTGTGTATACTCCATCGAACAGCTGTGACAACTCGTATGTAAGAGCCTTGTTCTCTCTATGAACACTCACGTTGAATTGTGGCTGCTTCTTGGATGATGCAAACTTATATGGGGGCTTGATGATAACATGGCAGTCTCCAACAACCTGAATCTCAAATTCGTTCGTCATTCCCGATGATTTCTCATTAGAAATAGTTGGCACAGAGACATCCTCGGGGATTATATCCCCCGAGGGCACATGCAATGCTTGCATAGAAGCTGACGGCCGTGTTGAGATTGAGGTTTGTACCACTCGATCCAGGGACAGAACAGAAGTGGGAGAGACGTGGGAAGTCACTGGGAAGGATGCATTGGATAGAGCTGATCCGGCAAAGGATTGCACTAGAAAGACGACCAGAACTCTAACAGCCGCATACCCAATAGAGATGGCAATGGCCGAAATGAGAGTCAAGGTAACCAGACGCAGCGTGGGGGCCAGGTCTCGGGCCCGCGTGGCATAGGAATGCGGGAGCCAATTACCAGGATACTTCTCAAGATCCGCAAATATGTGCCTTTGAGGAGGCTTGAGAGTATCGGCAGTGGCTTTCTGTGTCCTTCTCGGATACAGGCCGACAAGAGAAGCCAAGTTTCGATTCAACTGACCAGGTGTGATGCTCTCGAAAGTCTTCAAATCGATAGGATACCGCCGAAGGACTGCGGTCTCACCGGAAACTGGATGGCGGGACTCTAAACATGTATGAAGACTGTTGTGGTTAAGAGGGATCATCTCTCCGGCCATCTTCCACAGTGGTTCCTCCGAAATCACCATTGCCGGGACTCCATGACGTTCTAGGAACATATGGGCAAGACGCTGCGTCTTGACCGCCGCTGCATCGTCGAGGCCGGAGACAAAGAGAATTGCCACATCTGGTAGAGTCCAATCCGTTGCAGACGTTATATGGTAGTCAGAACCATTCCAGGCCGAAGTACAAACCGGACGATTCTTGAACTTCAGGTTCAGTGTATTAGGTCGGTCCGCGTGGGGATCGGCCGTGGCTTCCAGACATTCGTCAACCACCAGCTGGACATGAATCGGGAGAAGTTCCGCGAAGTTCGGAACAGCTCCGGCGCCAAATGATGTTGGCACGACATGATATCGAGAAGATTCAGCCGAGTTGGTCTCTGAACCAGCACATGAGCTTGAGACAAGCACATCGCCGATCTTGTCGAGAATAATATTTCGGAATCCCGGTTGTCCGACATAGAGCACGCGGAAGGGTTTGTCCAGGTCGAGACTCTGTTTCGTCATGGTCTGTTGAAGCGTGGCCATGAGGATGGAGTCGGTTGAATTGTAAGGCAGCCGGCTCTTCAATTCCGAGGCTGCAGCACCTTCGAAGATGCGGATAGTATGCTTGAGCTCCACTCTCTCGATCTCGGGCCACTTCTCGGGCTCCACGAATTCGATCGAATCACTGGCATGGGGGAAGGAGGGCTTTGTGGTTGTGGTGCTGTCATCGATGGTACTTCGTCTGGCAGCAAAGAGGGCAGGCAGCTCCTGGGAGGCCGATTCAATGCACTGCACTTCATCCCTGTCTATCCCATCGTCCTCTTGGTGGTCTTCATCCTGGGCCTCGGCCTCGCTCCCACTGTAGCGTTCATCGAGGCTTGCAACGTCGTCAGGGCTAGCCTGGTCGATCAACGAGCCTGTATCGGTTTGTTCGGAGTGGCTGCCATCCTCTGAACGTATGTCCGACACACTCAGAGTCGCCCAGCTATCACTCAGCGTTTTGGGTGAATGGTCAGAAAGTTGATCTGACGTCATGTTGGTAGGCCGTGAACGTGATAACCACTCCTCGACAGAAGCTGTCAGGGGTGGAAGAGTCGGATATTGCAGACTCGAGGCAGTCTGGGCACGGTGGAAACGCCTGTGAGGCGAGTCTGGATCGTCAGTCATTTCGCCGATGTAAACTTCATATAGCACACGGGTGCGGCGGAAACAGGAGCTTAGGGATAGCCCAAGCGGTAGGAAGAAGGTCAAGAAAAGCAGAGTTAGAAACCGAGACGGAGATTTAGAGCAGGGTAATAGAAAAGAAAAGGGAAGATCGGAAGATACTGGGAGTGCTAGGCAGAGACTCAAGAGAGCCCAAATAGAGTGATAAGGTGGGTCTGCGGGGAGCCGGATGTCAGGATGGGTCAGGTGCGTGTCTGACTTAAGGAAGTAAGGGCTTACCTAGGTGAAGGTGTGAAAGCGACAAAGGCCAAAGAGAAAAGAAGCACCGTGAAGATCAAGAAGTATAAAAGAGAACTGAAACGTAGAGCGTTGACGAAGGGGGGGAGTTGTGTTGCGATAAGAGAACACTAGAATGGATGACCCAAGTGACAGTAATAGTGGGGGAGTACAAGGTACCTAGCAGTTGTATGATGGTGTCACCCATGACAGAAGTACTGGGTACAAGTCACTTTGCTACCTAACGGCAACTCTCTTTGTCTGCCCCTCGCAATGCAGATGCACTCGAAGGTACTCCAATACTCCAAATGAGAGAAAGTACTGACCTGCTGAACCTATCATCTTTCTTTCGTTCTTTCTACCTATTCTTATACTTCTCTATACTACTTGATAACGAATAGCTCCACTGTGCCCCACCATGAACACTTTAAACATTAACTACACGGAAATGAACCGCGACTTGAAAAAGACAGTCTAGATTGATCTAGTTCACTTGCACCTGAGAAATCCAAATCTCTGAGAGTAGTGTCATATTCACCTTGCTCATCGGCGTATGACCCGAACAACCCTGCACGTGGGATCTAAATATTGAGGATGGCAATTTGTACATGCTGATACTCATGTGTGGTCTTTCGACAAGTATGTCAAGTGTATAAGCTTCACTAGGAGAGCAAGGAAAGAAAATAAGAGATTATAGATCGACGCTAAGCGATCGGGAAAGCTTTAGATGTAATGGAGATCCTTGACTGCACTGAAGTTTGACCGGAGCCCTTATATATTTTATATTTCTCACTATACGCACTATACGCCTGATTTTATGCATATATCCAAGAATGACTCAAATGCGCCTTTGATCCCTATTCAGAAACGTCTAGCTCGTATAATGCCCCAACACAGCAGAACTCCTGACAGCGCATGTAGATACCAATAAGCCTCGACCCACTCGGGGCCTCGTATACTCGGTCATCCCACGGCCTCGGGTAGTTGTCAGCAGACGCCTCATCCTTACACCCAATTTTCCGCCAGGTATAATGAATGGTACGGGCCAGTTCATGGGGTAGGTCAGCGGAAAGCCTAAGCTTCTCGTAACTCGGCTGCTCGTTCCGTTCAACCTCGAACTCGATTTCCACGAGCTTGTGCTCTGTGGCCGCAACCGACAAGCCAACAATCCGAGCATCTGGTGCAAAATGAACGGCTTGACGCGTCTCGGTATCGAGCTCACCTGTGCTCGCTGTTTTACCTGAATTGTAGACGAAGACTAGTCCGACTATTGCCTGGTCTTTGAAGTAGGCCTCGGCTGTGACTATAGTCTCTCTACAGCCCTTATTATTGCGCCTCTCAAAGTAGAGTTTCCGTACCTGGTCAAAAGGAGGTACTTGTTCGGGGACCAATATGACGGCTTTTGGGCGGCTTCCATTCGTAGAGATGACAGCTCGGACGCGTTCGGAGGATAGGTTCAATATCCAAGAGATAGCTGTGAGTTTCTCGTCGGAGTCACCCTGATACTGGTGGCATTGCAGCTTCTGGGATGAGATGGACTGGAAGTCCGGAGGGCGGAACGTCACACTGCGAGAACTTGTCGTCTTAATGTGTATAGCTGCGACTTGACCTATTTCCAACCCCGGGGACGCAGAAGAGAAGCCTACTGGAACGAGCCAGATAGTCAAGGATTGGACTTCTTCGTCTTGGGAGAGTTCAAACCCATCATCGAGTTGATGCATCCATTGTCCTACGATGCCAGGACTTGGATGGCCATAATACTCGAGCTTCAACCCGGATATGCGACTTCGAGATCTGGATTGACCTTGTATGCCCGTAGATGCATGAATTTTCCGGACGTTCTTGAGTGACGCATAGGTCTGATAGTCATCGGAATCTCTACTGTATATGAAATGAGAGAACTTTTCGTCGTATCGCAACTGGTTGTCGGGTATTTCATGGCATTCACAATCCAGAATATCTGGTATGCTAGGTTGAATGCCACACTGCTGGGACTGAATACCGACGCGTTCAAAGCAAGTTAGGGTTACCTGTGTCTGCGTAGCTGCTGCCTGTATCTGCTTTATGAATTGCATTTCAAAGGCAGCCAATCCAGTGATGGTGTTGCTGGGCGGTGAAATTGGTATAAGCTCAACAGCTGCGTTGAGCCGATGATGAAGAGCAGCGAAAGTAGCAGTTCGTCCATAGTTTGTTGACACCTAACACGAAGTTAGAATCTTGCATACATGCATGCCTAAGAACCCGTATGAATTACCTGCAAGCCACCAAGGCTCATTTCTGGGTTGGATCTTTGAATTTCTAGCACCCCAATTCGATTGATGCGCTCCCCCTTGGATCCATCAACAAAAAGGGAAATCTGGCAGCCACCGCTAGAGCCGAAAAGTACGGACGTCCCATCAGAATACGATATCTCTATTCCGATAAATACGTGAGGGTTAGATCCCATATGAAACGTAAGCCTTTCCAAGGACGCCAGAAGCAGTCCTCTCGGGCCACCAAAGTCAATGTTGGTCAAGGGTTCGAAAGCCCGGGGAGACCGGGACGGTAAAAGAATGCTAATTCTCGCCTCCTGCCTTGGAGGATGTGGCGTCCATAAATGAGACTGTACCCGAGATGAATCCATAACACGTTGAGAGGCAGACTTCAGAGTTTCAAGGTGGTTGGTCACTTTGCCGAGGCCAAGTGAAACGATCTTGTATCGATCTAGACCCACAAGCAAGCAATGCCAATTTGATCTCTCTGGGATGCTAAGGGTGCCAGTAGCAATTCCTGGACCGTTGGAATCACCAACCCAGCCCGATGAATTTGACCCTGCATATAAAAATTTGATTCCCGTCAGGCCTTGGGAGCAAAACGCCACGCCGACAGCTTTCACGTGGAATATGTTCGGTATCTCAATCCACTTCTCGGAAGCTGGGTTTTGATATCCGACTCGACTGCCGGCGATACTGCATTCCCCGCATGGAAATAGATTTATCCCAGATATAAAGCGTCTTGCGCCGAATTGGATGGTTGAGATACCTATTCGCTGTCGATACTGCTGAAGTGGGGGCACAATGGATTGTGTTCTATGGTAAAGTACACGGCATCCCTCATCCAAGGGGCTCTCTGAGCTAACAGAGGCTAGCTGACCGGAAAAGAAGCGGGCTACCTCTATGAGTCGAGGTGGGGTTTCAGCACTCTGGTCATCGATCAGCTGATAATATTCGCATTGGTTTTGCGCCGGCTGGACGGCAGACCCATATGGACCATTTCTCAAAACAGGATCTAGGTCCACAAGGGCAGCAATAGGTTCCAGCAGCTGCCGGATTCTCTTCCGATTGACCAATGACAAGGTCCCTATCGTGAGCGATGCCCTGGTCCCAAAGAAAAGCAGGTACCAGTCCTGCGTGTCCGTAACATCCAGGAGAAGAAAATCAGCTTCCTGGCCTAGGAGAAACCTACTTCGCCAGTACGACCGTGGGAGAATATCCACGGCTGCAAGTTGAGCTAGATCTCGACATACAAGTCGTACGTTGAGGAGTTCACCAAAGGATAAATATGAAAATATCTCGAATTTCAGCTCGAGTGAGAGTCCATCAAAGATGGAGTGTTGAGGTCTCTTTGAACTTTCGCAAATTTGTTTTGTCATAGTATCAGGGGATGGTACCAAATCGCAGTTGTCATTAGGCCTAAAGGGACCCGATGCAGCGGTGTCCTCTTCGCTGTGGCAATCAATGCCTGCCGCGGTTGCAGTTGACGGGCTTGCACTATCTCGCAGGTTCCACAGCGAAGTATCACAAACCTTTCGGGACTCTGGCGCGGTTGTTTCCAAGTCCATTGGGGAAGGAATTGCACAGGGGTCAGCATAGAATTTTGAGCTCAAATCCACTGCCTGTGGTAGGCCAAACGACTTGTGTGTTTGCGCAGCGCCCTCATAGTCGTGGCCGAAATGGAAGATGGATGCTTGGATACAAGGAGTGCAATACAACTGATAAAAAACCGATTTTGAAATAGTCGCTTCACTCTGCATGGCATCACCCGGTCCACGAGCAAGCCTGAGGAGAAGTAATTTCCAACATGAGTCGTGGAATCCGAAGCACCAACGACTTACAGATGATCCGAAAAGCCTCCATTCCTCCAGCGCTTCAGTATCCACGTCGACATAGGATTGACCGCTGCCAAGAGGCGCATAGAGAATGTTCCGGTAGCGTACTATCCCTAGCCCAGTTGTGGTGATATGGCTAGCAGTAGCATTGATTGAGTAGAGACCTCGTACTTCTGCATACCAAGGTCGAACGCGAGAGTGTGAAAATGCTAGATCATCATCACTGTAGGGGTCGGGCAGCAAAATAACTCCACAGAGAGGGCAGTAAACATTGGGAATCGGAATCATCGAGATAGGGGTCATGCGTTTCGTATCCTTGATTTGAAATGCACAAGCCCCTAAGCTCACTAAGCTAATCACTTAGCATTAAAACAATAGAATATGTAATAAATATCTCACATGAAGAGCTGTAGAAATCTTGTTGGACTACAGACGGGCGGTGGATTCAGGCATACAACATTTGGATGGTCGGGATCCGGATAATTTAATATATCCGGCCTATGGCTTCGGAAACCCTGTTCAAATGTACTTCGTGCTAGTAAATGGAATCATGGACATGAGACAGTAGACAATGCAGATAATATATCAAAGAGAGAGATTATACCAGAGAATTTAAACAGGACTTTCGTCCAGGTAGCATCTCCGCGGCAAGTTGGAATTTGCTCGTGATTTCAGACTCAGTAACTATTGAACACCTCGCAGCAGGCAGGAGTCTCAGAAGCCCCGAGCGCCTCTAAGACAGATACCAGAGTCCTGGTCGGTTCCTCTCATACAGCGTACATACATACTTACTCTGTATGGACGTTTATGCCGAGCATTCCTTAATCCATTGGAATTACTGACTTCAACGCTAGCCCTATGTCGGCCTCGTGACTCCCTATGCACTTCTTGCATGCCAAGAATCTTGGACTCCTACTGAATCTCGATTAGCGCTATCAACGCAGTTTGACATGGCTTTGTCACCAATCTCTGCCTACAACTTACAGTATGTTGTATTGCAGGAAAGGATTTCAATCCGGGCTGCATTTCGCTTCAAGTTGACTGAATACGAGGATCTCGCCAGTTCTTTCTGATTCTCTCTATTATTCCATTACAAATGCGAATTCATGAGTGAGGGGCTTCTATATCTGAAGGGGTGGAAGAAAAATCCATAAACATGGCCTTCTTTCTAGGTATGAAGAGATTAGACAGACAGACATATTCCAATTCATTTTCTGGTATTATTCCAACGGTTCCAATCACTTCATACATCTAACACTACCTTATATGTTACGGCAAGATCTATGCTCCGGTCAGGGCCAGTGCTTAACAAGAAGTAACTGCATGTTGTCCAGTCATGCCCCCGCCTACCACAAAGAGATGCAGGGTAAACTTTTCACCTAGAAATACATAGAATACGGACGCCTCTTATTAGCTAGCTATTTTCTCTGATATATCGTTTTTGGGCGTTTAAATCATGGTCCACTAGGATTTCTACGGCTCGAATATGCAAGCAGACTGCCGCAGAACAATTGCATGAATACGTGTCTGGATGAGAATCTTCGCCGCAATTTCATTTCATACTCTCTCAAACCCCTGGCATGGTAATGCAGATTACACCAGGATGCGAATGAGTAGAGATGGTATTCGATCTTCGCAATATCTGCTCACATGGCGTCGTTGGGAGACCGTTGGCTGCCTCTTTAATTTAGCGGTTACATGAAATTGGGACAGTACGGTGTAGATGCCATCCAATGGCTTGAATACCATGATTCTCTGATCCGCCCTTCTATTTAAACAAGCCCAAGGGCTCCTATAATTCCAACTAGTTTTCAAGTTATCCCTTCTACACATTCAAGTCTCTGGATTATTTGCACCGGGCCCACTGTTCAAACTCACCATCATGGCCGTCAATACCCCGTCCCTACGCAACCTTGGCTTCGTCAGTGCCCTGCTATTGATAAAGCCTGACAGTCTAGAGGAGACAGTCCAACCCTGTGGCAGACAATTGTGTGCGCATGGTTCCCTCCTTCCGGTGACTATAGAGTGGGGTTCAAAGCTGCCGTACTCGCCAACAACAACATGCCCGATGCGATGATCATTCAAGTCAAGGCATTAATCTCGAATCCCAAGTCTTCAGAAGACATCATGGAACGCCAAATCCTTCTTGTCGAATGCAAGCGTCCATCCAGAGACACACCGTTAGGCTGGGATGATACCATTACCGGCCAGTTCCTCGATGACCTCTCACAAACCTTGAATTTTTCCGAAAGACTTTTCGGAGCTGTTGCTATCGGCAAGAAAGTGAAGTTCTACCAATTTGACGGGAAAGCACAAGTCGGTCAGCAATTGGCTCCACTTCACCAGGGCATTTTGGATATGGATGACCCGAATGGTTGTTCACAGGTCGAGGGTATGATGAACCATATCAAGGCAAATGCGTGGCAGTGGGCTATTAGCCTCTAGATAAATCGGACATCCTGTCTAGTTTTCTGGGCTTGGTATGTGACAAATTGGATAAATCGGGGCGGATCGAAGATAGCGAATGCAAAGACGTCAACGGGGGAAGGGGAGAAATGTGTCATATTGTACTCAACAACCCGGCCGGAAGAAATGAAGGGCCTGTAAGTGCTATAGAAGAAGCATATAACTATAGTGACGATATGTATTTTCCAAACCTTTTGCTTGCTCATTTGAACAACGTAAAATCCAGGGTATTTGACCATTTACAAAGTGCCTGACTTGCCCAGGTGAGATGACCAAGTTACTAATCATTTTTCTTCTCTAGATCTGGCGTGGAAGGACTATTGTCGTTGACAAGAAAATGGAGGACGCAACCAAAGCCACTAGGTCTAAATAAGCATTGATATATTTCCGCGAGCCTCTCACTATTAGTATCTATCTCAATCATCTCGGAATTCAGCCTGATATGATCGCCACTTCAACACAATTCGCACGGAATTCGGTCTAGCAGATTGCGTTCTGGTGAATGCCGGAAATCCGGACCCACGTTCACAAGCTAGATTGGATAAATGGACTCGTAACCTTCTATACAATTCCACTCGGGAGTTCGTTGAAACATGTGGCGAGAAGATGTATAAATACTGGGCAGTCCGGACTGGTACTGAAGCCCAGCAAGTGCTCGAGATCATTGAGACTTTGTGAAGACAGGCCGAAATTGCGACGATTAATTAACACCAGTGTTATACAATGTACCTAGTTAGAATAGAAAGAAATTGTATTTCTTTGAGCAGTGAGAAATGCATTTCAACAACTCCTCTTTTACCTGGTCAGGCGAGAATAATTCACATTGTAGACCTCGAGATTTCTAGCCAGGGTCTAACAGTCTCTTTAACGGGCATAATAGATCAAATTCTAGGATAAAATGAACCAGAAAACACCGAAAGAATTGAACTAGTAGGAAGTAGGTAGCAGCTCCCGAAGATATCAGCTCGCTTGTTGGCTTTTATTTCAGAAGTTTGGGATAAGCTCAATCTTGGAAAATGGAGGATTTCTCTATAGCATCAAAAAATCTCAGAGCTAATCGACAAAAAAACAAATACAAAGGGTGAAGTACACCTGGGCAAGCTCAAAGCCGGATTTTCTTGGCAAATTCGCACTGTAGCATCCCCCGATGGCCTCTCATTGGTTAATATTGCAAGGCAGTATTTGAGATGCTTCAAGAAGGCGGTGAGTTGATCAACGGAAGCACCTCACAAGGTCATAGATCCTAAACAGAGATCTTCTCCAAGCGCCCGGACAAGCTGAACAGTTGATGAAAAGGAGTTCGCGTCGATCGGGGGTAGTGTAAGCCCAATAACACTGTGCAACGAGGCATATGCAAGCATAGAGGCCAAGTCGCGAGGTCCAAATATTGGAATAATCATGACGTTCTGCATTGCAGAACATTCAGCGATTAAACTGAATAGAACAGATACTACACTTGATCTAAGCCAGAGGCAAAGAGAGCTAAAGAAGAAAGAAAAGAAGAGGAAGTTCTGGGGGCAGGGCCACCTTCTTATAGTTATCCTAAGGGCGGTCGGCTTCTGCCACTATTCACAAATGAGACAAACAACGACATATGCTCGCTTAAGAAATGGTAACGTGATGATGAGAACAGGAACGGCGTCTCTTATTTCCGGTTTCTTTGGTGCGAGGCCATCATGTTTGTTTCTTCTGATATCAGCACGAGAAGGGCTACTGATACAATCACACGCTAGACTACTTTAGGTATGTCTGCCGCTGGCCGCAATTCTATATCCAATGAGAGTATACTCAATAATTTCCCTTCCTTATAGATATTGGTACATTCAATTGCATTACTTGAAACTGTGAGTAGCACAGCTGGTAAAAACGACTCTTCTATTTAAAATGTAAATGTCCAAACCATAATAAAACCGAAGAAGTAAAGTGCATTATACTGATATCATTCTTCACGTAATTGACCGAGTGATTATTCCATACTCTATAGACAACCATGCTTGATCTGGTATTTGCGAGGGTCAAGGGTGGGCAATGCGAGAAAACAACCCGTGGATGTATGCCACGGATTCAAGGATGGGCGGGGAGAGAGGAAAGGTATGTACATTTCATGAATGCATGCTGGAAGACAAACCACAAAAACTGCGCACACGGGGATGGGGATGGGAAGGGGGGAAAGCTGCTGAGAAAAGAAGTGGCCGATGGGGAGGCAAAAAAAATATGGCACAGAGACGTGGCGGGAGTTGCTTGGGGCGTTGCTCCCAGCCTCCGAATCAATGGTCTCCTACCACCGAGATGAAGGTGTGCTCCTGGTAGAACATAGGATATAGTGATGAAATCTGGAGAAAACATTGGATATAATGGTTGTCGAGACCACAAGGTACAGTACCAATGTTCCACTGCCGATGACACACAATTTCTTCCAAATGAAACCAAGGGATGAATCACAACAGCCAAACCCAGTGGCACAGCATGCTTGATGAATGTGACAACAGTGATGATGGAAATGGTAACACCATCTTCCGATAATAAAAAAGTTCAGATCCGTTGAACGCCGCCTAGGAAGGAAACCCTATGACCAACATAAGATGCAGGCTCCAGCTGGAAACTCCCAAGGGCGGACCCAAGGGATGCATACAGCCGAATAAATAGACAGGGGAGAAGGAGACGCAGAAAGACGCGGCAAGCACTGAGCACTACGGCATCAGCGTCAAGATCTATGGCGAGGCCCAGCCACCAGCCACGTCCACCCATTCGTTGAGACAGCTGCCTTGCTTGCCCTCAACATCGACAATGTCAGTGTCGCAGCGGCATCGGCAACCGACACCGTTCTCCTTGACTTGGTCAGGGTTAGCCCAGTATTCGTCTTCCTCGATCCGTTTCTTCTCGTCATCGGTAGTCTTTTCGAGGTAAGGGATACGGGTGAGTTGGCGGGCCGGAGCGTTGGCCGGGCAATGCTGAATGGTAGTGTGGCGGTAGCCAAAGTCACGGAAGTAATGAATATCACTAGGCGCGAGGAGAGCACCTGCGGCGAGAGAGTGAATAGGAGCATCGCCCCACTAGTACAGTCAGTAAAGATCCCCTGGCACAGTGCAAAGACATAATATAACATACCCGCTCATTCCAAAATCCTCCACTTTGGTCCATCATGGTGAAGAAGTCCTCATACTCCTTGCTGCGGAACCAATCCAGGCGGGCAATCTCGAAGTTGCTCCAGAAATGGCACATGTTGTAGCTCTCGCCTTCCATGGCCTCTGGGTCTACGTCTTTCAGATTGTTGTCACCGGGGTCAGTCTGCAGGATTTCATCTGGCAGTTTGTCCTGCTTGTTCTCTTCGGGAGTTTCCGGTTGCTCTGGCTGCTCTGGCTGCTCTAGGAACATTTCCCACAGACCCTTGGATTTGAGGTTGTTCTTGCGCTTGTAAGCGGCCGCATACCGGAAGATGTTGGGGACAGTCTCGCGAAGCTCTTTCACTGCAATTGTAAAGCCATAGGTCTTGTTTGCCTCGGCCATCTTCAGGAATGGATCACTAAAGGTATCAAGTCAGCAGATTGACTAGAAAAATATGCCGGAGTAGGTATCTTACTAGGTGATGTCGCAGAAGTACTTGATCTCGGGCTCCAAACGCCAGTACCACTCATATTTCATCAGCAGAGGGTGCTTGTAGAAGTGTCTATCGCAAAGTTAGCTTTATAATCCAAGTCCAAATCTGCCATTGAAGACTGACCCTGAGTAGAATCGGCACATGTGGTGATAGCTTTCCATTCCACCGTACATGATGGCAGCATCACCCTGCTTCTTGATGCCCTCTTTGGCAACCTCATGGTCAACCCAATCAGGGAATCCCCACATGCTGTTGTCAATCTTGCCGAATTCGACTTCTGCGCTGGTGTAGTTCTTGACGGTTGCCTTGAACTCCTCATCGAAGTCACCATCGTTGAGGAAAACATAGGGGTAGTGCCACCACCGGTTGAAGTGTCTCTCGATTGACTTGAGCGACTGGATCACGCCCTCCAACTCCTTATTTCTGGCAAGGACGACGAAGGCGGCATTGGCGCGGGGAGCCTTTGCGATTTGATCGGGCTCAATAGGCATACAGCCCGTAGCAAAGACTTTATCATATTTTTCGCTGATTTTTCTGTAGAACGCGGGAGGTTAGTTATCGCACCGAGGAGCACCAATTGACAGGGCGATACGAACCGGATAGATGGCGGAGTGCCTGCTGGAATTAGGATCCCCCCGGGAGAGGCAGGATGTCGGACAAAGAGAAGCAGAATAAGGACAATTACAAGGCATGGAAATAGTAAAACAAGACCCAGGGGTATAGAAATAGATGAGTTGCCCTTTAGGCGAATCCGCCTTCGGAAAAAGGCGAATCTAGGATGGAGGTGGCCCTTCTCGGTTGGAACATCCTCCAACGGCAGACTCGGCGCGCTGGGCAGCCGTTTCGTGATACGTTGGATGAAGCTCATGAGTGCGATTATTGTGAGACCACACGGATGATTGTAGCGGTCAGCTGTCAGGCCCGGGCGACAGCACGGGGCCGTTAGGGAGATAGCGGAGAAATTGTGTCGGGGGTGTGATCAGAGGAGGACTGCGTCTTGAAGAGGAGAAAAAAGTCGAGCACACGATCAGACCGAATTCGGACCGTATGGATCACAGGGAAATCCGAAAGTCAAAAGATCTCGAGAAAAATGGAGAAAATGACAGCAAAACGAGTGGCCGGAGGAATGCCTCCTTTCGTCCCCCAACTTTCTCAGTCCCACGGTAAATAGATGGGGAAGGCGTTGGGAGAAACGCGGGCAACTGTGAACAGCAAGGTACACAGAGGAGAGATCGGGGACATCAAAACAGGATGAGGGTGATGGGGGGAGAGAAGATGGGGAATTGGAAGACGGGATGGGTCCTAAAGGGCTGCTTGCGCCTCCCTGGTCTTGGCGAAGTCCGGTGGCCTCTTGTCACCCTGAGACGGTTATTTTACCCCT